TTTTTTACGTGAGTCAAAAAACCACTTTTCCATAACTTTGACCACTGTTAAAACAAAGTTTCCCAACTAGCCTCGAGTTGATTTTTTGATATTTTATTTATAACAGGTTTCCGAACAATATTCCGCAGAGAAACTTGTAATAGTATTTTTTTCCCGAAACAGGCTCTTTCATGTCTATAATGACTGGGCTATAAAATATGTTTAATTTTTTTTTCCTCAAAATCAGTGCATTCTACGAAAAAAATTGACGTAACTAATTTCATTCAGAATTGATGGCGGATTTCTAAAGAAATATCAAAATGAGAAAATATCAGCGACGTACCAATTTTTTTTATTAAATACGATTGTGGTATTTTCGTACGAGCGCTACTGGTGCAAGCAGAAATATTTGGATCATTCCAAAATTCACATTTATCGCTTCAAAGCGTATTTCAAATTTCAAGTCAATAACTTTAAAACTCTTTGAAGTAATTAATAAAAATAAATAAAATATTTAGAATTTAAACACTGTATCTCGGAAACCAATCATATTTCGACCTATATATATATGAACTGTATTTCACAAAATAACTTCGGCAATCACCCCCTAAAATATTTCACAAACATCTTATATAAGGATGTTTATAAAAGTACACTATTCACAGTTTCGGGACACGCACACTGGCCGTGGTGTTCCAGCCACTGTCGCTCGGTCCATCTTTCCCGCTATTCATAACAATTTAATGCTAAAACGAATGTATGAAACAACTTAGCAAAGATGAAATACCTAAAAATTTATCTAAAAGGTTAATTACAAAATTACATCATTCTATGCTAAAAATTAAATTAACAACAGATTAACTAATTAATAAATGATTATTGCTGCTATTAACAGTATTCAGTATATTTCATAACAGGTGTTCAAATTGGACAGCATTGGCCATTTGCCTCAGTGCCATACCCTGTAGCATGTTAATAGTACATTGTGTAACGAGTGGGGAAAAGTTGCCAATAGCGCCACGAGGACGCAGTTGACGCACGAGCGAAGCAAGTGCGGAAAGCATCCAAGTGGCGCTATGGCAACTTTTCCGAACGAGTTGCACATACTATTTTCTATCACAAGTGCGAGTCGTTATGCGACATATAGTGTAGGGGGTTAGATGCACGGAAAGTGCTAGAAAATAACATCACGCTGTTGTACTATCTAGCACTTTCCAGTGCACCTAACCCCCTACACTATAGGTCCCATAGCGAGCTCGCGTGATAGAAAATATTTAATTGTATGCCCTGGAGCTGAACCGTGTCTTGTAATCAATTCACATGCCGTTCTTATGCGATGGATTAATTGTTCCTCTTAATTTATTTGGACTTCAGACACATAATTTTTAATTATGCCCCTTATGGAGAAGTCCAGGGGGATAATATCTGGTGCTCTTGCTACCCATGGAATAGGGACATTAGTTGATATTTAACCAGCTTACAACTACCCTACCAAAATGAGCAAGAGTCCCATCTAAAATTTAGTTCAAATACCTCTTTTATTTTATATTTACAATAAAGTAAATTTTTTTTTTAACTATTAACACCTATCTCGAAAACGATCGAAAGTTTGAAATAAGTTTATAACAAGGGTATCATTATTTTTTGTTGTACTATCCGCTCCTGAAGTCTCACAGGTTAAAACGGAGACACCCTGTATATTCAAATAAACAATGTCAATGACCATTTTGCACGCGACATGATGTTGTGGAATTTGAAAGGAAAACTATTATCCTTAAGAAATGAGACCCAAAACTTTAAAGTTAAATAAATCGGCTTATTTGTCAGTATTTGTTGCCTAGCAGAGGGTGATACTTATTACCGTATGAATAGGTCACAAACCGTTCCGAAAAAAGACAAACAAATTTTCATGTGTACTTTTTTAAGTGGTATAAATACCTAATTAACTAAAATGGTTATAAATTAATTTTTTATTAATAAATTTTGAATTAAGCATCATATGGTGTTCGCGTCTGTCTTAGGTTGAATCCATGACCAAACAAGAAATAGAATTCGACACCCCATTCCGCGAGCTGGGCTTCCCCGGTGCCCCGTTCCGCTCCACAGTATTACTGCAACCCACATCGGGTTGCCTGGTCAATCTAACGGAATGGCCTCCGTTCGTCATCACGCTCGAGGATGTGGAACTAGTCCACTTTGAACGTGTACAGTTCCACCTGAAGAACTTCGACATGATCTTCGTCTTCAAGGATTACCACAGAAAGACCGCCATGGTGAACGCCATTCCCATGAACATGTTGGACCACGTGAAGGAGTGGTTGAATTCGTGCGATATCCGGTAACGTTAAAAAGAAATGATGTGAAAGTTCTAATAATGTCAGTTTTCTTTTTATGTTTGCAGTTATTCCGAGGGAGTACAGTCCTTGAATTGGGTGAAAATTATGAAAACCATCACGGATGATCCCGAAGGATTCTTCGATAGTGGCGGTTGGACTTTCCTGGATCCGGAATCGGACGTGGAGGAGGCCCAGGAGGAAGAGACTGAAGATGAAGATGAGGTCTATCAACCCTCGGATTTGGGCGAGGAAGGCTCGGAATGGAGCGAGGAAGATTCTGAATACTCGGAAGGCGATACTGAAGACGATGATTCTGGCGAAGAAGAATTAGGTGAGGACTGACTTTCAGTAACTTTTGAATTAGGCAGGGTGCGCGGTGGAAACCGGGAATTGTCAAGGTGTTTAAGAATGTCGGAATTTATCAAATTTTCGTGGAATTTTTTCAAATTTGTCATTTATTGACTCGTTTTTTTTTTTTTTTCGATAAAAAACTAATATGAAAAATTAGTATTATTGTTCAAATTCTGATGGCATCCATTTATTTTGATATAAATGAATATTTATAAAAAAGTATCATAATTTTTTTTCCATAATTAAATTTCTAATTTAATTGAAGAAAAACTATTTACTCGTTTTGTACTTTCGATACAAAGGTATTATTTAATATACAGGGTGACCATTTTTCTAGGCGCACTCCTGAGATCTGGTTATCTTAAAAGGGGTACAGGTTGGGTCAAAGTAGGACCAAGTTGTGGAATTTGATGGCAATTAATTATCTACGGAAAACCAAGAATTTAATCTTTTAATTTAAAAAAAAAGTTTTAAACTCGGGCTTTGCTTAGGCACTTTTTTGGGGGGGAAGTCAACATATAGCCATACTAGCCTTGGCGCCTACTGGGGCGGAGAAATGACATGTAACTTTTGTTTTTCCTACGGGTACCATATTGTATTTTCTCATTTTTGAATTCAGCACATTTTTTAAAATAACAAGTTATTCGTTTTACAATGTCGCAGTTTTTATAATTTAAAATGCTATTTTCACATGAAGATATGCATCAAATTTACTTATTTAATTAATTTGAAAAATATCAGGTTTTGTTTCATGTGAAAACCGTATTTTCAATTATCTGAAGTTTGACATTGTCAATAAAAATTTAAGTGAACTGTCAAAATTTCATTTGGATAATAATATAATTGGAAGTTTTGTTTTCAAAGCACGCCTTGATAAAAGCCGATAATTTGGTATTTTGAAGAAAACAAAAAAGTGAGTCATACCAAACATCATTGTAATCAAAGAAATGTGACGAAGTAAAAAACGCAAACAATATGTCAAATTCTCAGTTATATCAGTTATCTTTTAAGATAACAGATATATTAATGGTACAGCTCAAAAAATGAGCACCCTATCTAATTAGGTTAAAGAAAACTTTGAAACTGAAAATTACAGGAATTCAATTTAAAATGAAATTAAATTCAATTTTAAAAAAGTGTTAATTTTTTGACATTTTTTTGTATACAAAAGGATTAGTTACTTCTTTCGAGAAAAAATAGTCAGTGCTTGTCATGCATGTAGGAAGGAGGACATTTTGGATATACAGTGCTATCCAAAAAATTTGCACCATATGGGAAAAAACTTTATGTATAAATTTAATAAATTCATTCGATTGTCAGTTGTCTCTGCACATCGTCAAATCAAAATAGCGCCCATCGAACCTCATAAAACATTTGTTATATACGAGGGGCAGACGAAAACTGTAAATCGGCCCAAGAATAAAGTACCTTTATTTTCAACCCTAGGCAAAAATGTTATAAAGTTTTAGTTCATTATGTTGAAAAAGCGATTCCTGACAATTTTGCAACTTTCTCTCGTACCATAATTCGAACGAAAACATCCATCACTAAAGTCACGTTTTTTTAGTATGCTTCTACGAGAAAAACATAATTCCTGAAAACAAGTCGAATTGGGAACTAATAAGGCCGTTATAAAAAATAATGCAGAAAATTAGAACTAATTTGGTGCACTTTATTTTTTGTTCAAATATAATATAAAAACTGAGTAAATTGTTAAACCTCATATACACACCACTTCTTCTATTTTAAAGTATTATTATTATTAATAATAAGTTTATTCTATAGTCCCTCTTTAAATTATTCTTGATAATCGAAAGAATTTATTAAATTTATACATAAAGTTTTTTCCCATATGGTGCAAAATTTTTGGATAGCACTGTATGTACAATTTGCATAAATAGGATTTTTGCTCAGTGGCCCTATGGTGGGGCCTGGGGTTGCAAACCTTTGTAAAAAAGTCAGTTAGTGACTCAATATAANTTATATTCTCTTTCTTTTCCAATGGGTTTCATCCTACTATAATTTTTTTTGGTTTCAAAAATTATCGACCCTGGTCTATCAAAGAAATGTGATGAAGTAAAAAACGCAAACAATATGTCAAATTCTCAGTTATGTCATATTAATGGTAGAGCTCAAAAAATGCACACCCTATCTAATTAGGTTAAAAAAAAAACTTCATTTATGCTTAATTTGTCTTACGATGAGATAATTTTCATTTTCAAAATGAGGTGTTGGATTAGGTCAAAAAAATTATCATTTTACAGGCACCGACGAAGAATCAGGGAAGGACTGGTCGGATTTGGAGAGGGAAGCGGCAGAGGAAGACCGGGAGCGAGTGTACGACGTGGACGACGTACAATCGAAGAACCGCAACAAGTTCTCCAAAGACAGGCAGAAGTCCCACTCGTCCAAGGATAAGGCGCGCAGCTCGAGCAAGCACAACAGCAGCCACAAGAGCTCCGGCAGCAGCAGACATTCCTCATCTCCCGGCAAGCACTCCAGTTCCAGGGACAAGGACAGGAGCAGAGACAAGCACGGCAGCAGCAGAGACAAGAACCGTGACAGAGACAAGGACAGGCACTCCTCTTCCAAACACAAATCCTCATCTTCTAGCCACGCAAAGTCCTCGCCCTCCAAGGACAAAGATAGGAAGAGTTCCCGTTCCAGCCACGACAGCAAGAAGAGGAATCGGGAAGAGAGCCGCGACAGGGACAGGTCGAAAAAGTCTAAGAAGTAAGAGTATTTTCTATTTTTTTTAAGTTTAGTCGATATTTCATTGTAATTTGTGTTAAGTTAGTTCTGTTAGTTACTTAAACCTTATTATTGTACAGTTTCTCCTTTTTGATATAAATATTTAAGTTTTTTTTTATCTGATTCGTATGTGTTCTGCGTCATTGGTGATCCAACAGTTTATGTACCTTTGAAATAAAGATTGCACAACATTCCAGTGGGTTTATTTTCTATTCGATTTTCCATAAACTGCCTCGAGTTCGAACTTGCACAATAATTATCCTATTCCGGTGTGGGTCATATGCGATTTTTGTTTGTAAACTTAAAACTAGAAAGTCCCGGACAGTATCGCCCTCTAGCGAAACTCTGATGACGTGAGAAACGGGTTACCGGTGTCGGGTAAGGAGAGTACAGTCCCAAATTATGAAAAAGGGATTGTTTATTCACTACAAGGGATTTCATTGGTAGATAGTTTATTTGTCTACTAAAAGCATTAAATTAATTATTAAATAATTACATTTTAAATGTCGGTACCTTCTATGGGCTGACCATATTAGACCGGGAGATATTAGACTAAAGTTCGACGACGTCTTTCTCGTTTATGCCTCTGAGAGTACTGAAAGATAACCGAGAGACAAGTGCAATAAACTAAATTTAAAAGATGGGCTGCGGGACACCTTTGTGAAAATTCATTTTTCCTTTTCAAAAAAATAATGTGTACAGCGACGTATTTCTCACTTATGCCATGTTCGTAAGTTGAAGAGAAGTATCGATTTTATCACAAAATTTTTTTGGCATAAGTGTTGCAAGTGACCTAAAAATGGAAAACTTTGTAACGTTTTTCTCGTGAATAAATAAAACTTATTGCAAAGAAAAATGTGAAAGTAATCATTTTTTTTTAAAGGGCATAAGTCTCTGGTGAGGACTACTCGTATATGCTACAAATTTTTTGAAAAGTTTAGGAAAATTCATGAAAATTTTTACGTCTTTCTCGCTTATGCCATTTTGCATGCACGTAGGAAACTACATTATAAAGTCATATAAATGTAGGCATAAGTCCACNACGGTGAGAGACGGAAGAGCTGTTTCGTAAGTTTTAAAATTCCGGGTAGTTCCAGAGATATCCGAAAAAACCAGAAATTTTGCAAAATTGTTTAATTTTTTCTGGCTTTATTTGAAAACGAATTTTAAAATAAATTACATCTTCGAGGGGTCATCATCGGGTTAATTTTTTTACATACGTCGCTGCTATTTTTATGAAAAAATCTAGTTATTTTTAATTCTGAATTAGAGGATATTACTATTGCAATCACTTAAAAAGGTTTTTAGCTATAATTTAAAAATTTTCCCAAGTACAGTTCTGAACGCTCTCAAAATATCTATTGGATGAAGTCATAACAGTATAAAAGTCAATACCGCACAAAATATCCAACGATTTTTTACTACTATTAGGAATACTAATTAGAAATAATAAAATATTTCATAAATTCGTATTATTTTTTATTAGGTACAACTTTTTAAATAATTACTTATTCTCGGAAATTTTGAGGTTATGTTAAAAAATTACCTTTACAAAAGTAGATATTTGCATGATCTACAACTTTTGTACTGGATACTTTTTTGTTTGACGTCAACTTTCGCCAGAAATCCCAGTGATACAATTTTTCATAACTTTTCAACCCCCCAAATCAATCCTCCACCGCCCTTTTACCATTTTCAATTATAAAAGTCTGGGTAACAATTTTTTTTTTATCCGAGTGTAATTTGGTTGGACTACATTAAAATAACAAGTTATCCATTTTACAGTGTCACAGTTTAGATAATTTAAAATGCTATTTTCACATGAAGATATGCGTCAATTTACTTATTTAATTAATTTGAAAAATATCTGGTTTTGTTTCATGTGAAAACCGCATTTTCAATCATGTGAAGTTTGACATTGTCAATGAATATTTAATTGAACTGTCAAAATTTCATTTGGATAATAATTGAAAATTTTGTTTTCAAAGCACGCCTTGATAAAAGCCGATAATTTGGTATTTTGAAGAAAACAAAAAAGTGAGTCATACCAAATGTCATTGTAATCATAGACCAGTGCTTAAGCCTTCAAAAATGGTAAAAAGTGAAAAAATATAGTAGGATGAAACCCATTTAGACGAACGGTCTACCCCTCAAAAGATGCTTAGAAAATCAAGGTCACCGACCACGAGGAGAGGCCAGGATGAAACCTTTTTTAATCGATGCATTGAGTTATTGCGAACAAAAAACCTAAGTAACATCTTTGTGTCCGAGTGGCAGGTAATTTGTTATTAACAAAAAAATTGCAAAATAAAAATATTGCAAAAAAACGCTCTGCAAACAATTTTCCAA